CAGCAGGAAATCCTCCCCAAATCACAGTTTGCATTGTTCAGAATGAAAGTTTGCCATAAACACTTAAAAGACCTGTTTACAATGTATAGCATATTGCACGGATGTTTTATTATTTAATTCTTACCATTTCAGAGAATTGTTCCAGAGTCACACCAACCCAAGCAATTAAAACCAGTCCAAACCTGGACAACATTACGTTAACATGCTTTGGGATTCATGGTGAGATAGGATTCCCATTGGATTATTATTTACTCTGTTGCCGGGGCACCTTTTAGGAAAATATCCTCAGCACATATAGGCTCAAATGTAGGCAATACAACAACCACACAGAGACATAGTCTTCACTAAACCATCATTTATTTGCAGAAACACATAGAGATTACTTTCAAAATAAACAGTCCATTCAATGTTGATGATATCTATTTGGCAAATTGATTAAAATCTAGAAAAAGTAACTCCTACCTATGCAATAAAATTAGTCATTTAGTTGTTTAGGTATTCATCAAAGAAACATTCACACAGTTCCCCCCATGGTCTTCATTTGGAATCTGAATCCTGTGTTTCATCAGGGGTTTAATCATGCTTGAAGAGCCAGGGCTGGTGCTAAAGACTACACCACAAAGAAGCAACCTGATAATTAAACCATCAGATGTCCCTTTTTTGTTTTTTTTGTTTTTTTTGTTTTTGTTTATACGCTGAGCTACTGTGACAAGTTGGTGTAGGTTAGAAGTGGTCAGCATCGAGCTGCCAAGGACAAAATGTCCGCAGACCGTAGCTGTTGTTGGAGGAAAATTGCATCCTGACATTGCCTTGCCTATCAGTGCTGCGGCAGACAATTAGCAAGCCAGCACAGAATGAATGAACAATGTGGTTGCTCGCTTTTTGAATGTGCGTGCTGTGTTTTGTTGATTTCTCCTTTTGTGTCAGGGGTTTACAGAACCCAATCAGAAAAAAACAAGTCTATTAAAAAGTCGACAACCCTGTGGGGCACAAAGACAAACTATGTACAAAGCATATACAATACACAAGCCAAAGAGAAATGGCTCAGAAGACTTAGTCCTCCCATTTTTGCATGTACACTCCATATGTTCTACAAAGGATGGGATATCCTGGGGTAGGCATGGGAGGTGGACCTGGTGAGCACTGGCTCTCAGAGGACCTTCAAATCCAGCTGCTGTTTGGGATCCCACAGAGCCCAAACAGCAGCTAAGGGCTGAAAAATTCAAACAACACCAGACATTTTCATGTATGAGATGCTGATACATATAAAAAGGCTGAATCTGCTGAAGCACGTTATTGAAGATCATTTCCAGACTATCTGCATCGGTGCAGCACAGATATACAGTACTGTCTGTCACAGAAACGAGGTCTTCCTATTGCTGTCCTATTAAGAACACACAGCAGGCTCTAGAGTGCGTTCAGCCGTGCATTCCCCATGTTTCAGTAATAGGTGAGGCTACGTTGAAACTGTGTTACTGTTAGTGAGCAATAGTTTGGTGTTGTTTGCAGACATCTCCTCTGTTGTGGTAGAAAATGACAGCATAATGTTAAAAACAATACACACATCAATAAAATATGAACTGTCTTTAGTATTATAAAATCCATTTAATATTAAATAAACAACTCAAATTCATATTTTGACAATTTTTGTATGGCATGGCTTCATTTAACAACCTGTGTATTAATGACTACAGTGTGCTACAAACTCAAACCTGCGATGAACTAAAGACAAATAGAGCAGAGAAAGCTTCCACCCTTAACAGTGTTCATAATACATTTTTGTGCTTCATGGAGATATTGGAGAGATTTATTATGAAGCACAAAGATCAGTACAAATACATACAGGACATGAAGTACACCAGTGTTACACATGATGCTGTGATCATTTTTGTAGACACAACAATCATAATCCCCTGTTAGGCAGCTGTTGACCTCTGAGCCAGCACATTTGGGAACTGTAAATCAGCCATGGTACACATGCATTGTAAGCTATAGACATAGTGTATCACTCTCATTTTTGAATAATAAGAATCGTGGAGCAAATATGGGTATTTGCTTGTTTTTGCCTGCTCTTTGCTGTTGCTTTTAATACACAGTAGGGCCTGATGCCTTCCTTTTAATCTAATTTATTGAATGTGTGTCATCTGAGTGTTTATTGTGGCACCAATAAGCTAAAACTAGGAATGAACAATATCATAGTCTCCAAGAAAAGTTATTCTATTATATGATGAGCAGATTTTCTTAATGACACATCCAAAAAGTGTGAGCTTCCATGTCGCAGAGCACAAAGTATACTAGATTTTGAATCATTTAAAATTGCACTAGTCACCTTTTACTCACACACCTCTCTGTATATTTTTGCCTTAAAAACAATGTTGTTCTAGAAAGTACCATTTCTCAATTCTGGGACATCAGCGATTAGAAATAAATTTGGCTAGCCCATCTTCTTCTGTCGATCCAGGAATTTTTGTCTTCTGTCCACAGGTATCTCCTCTATACTGATACCATGACTGCTTCCCCTTTAATAAGAAATACAGCCATTTATGTACTGTAACTGGGACAGAGAGCAGAACCTGACATACCATTCACACCAAAAGCTATTTGACTGCATTACATTACATTTACACAGTATAAATGCAATTCAAAGATTAAATTAAGCAAATGACATGTATCCATGTATGGAGGAGCAAAGAAAATACTTTCTTACCCCTGAATGTCTGGAGGAACAGGCAGAGGCTTGTGGAAATCCTCCTTCCCGATCAACCAGTATGTGTTCTCTGTGCCTTTACCCTAGAAATAAACCATCATTAGCATACTATTGTGAGACCAGTGCTTTGCTCTGTGTACATATTAAAGTGTTTCTGTTATTTATGTTATACCTTTAACTCTGTCAGGCCTCTGACTTGAATTCTGTATCCCAGTTTCAAGCTGTTCAGCAGATTAACTGTACTTTGGTTGACATGAATTCTGTAAGCTAAAATGACAAACAAAAAAATCCTCACCATTTGCACCCAGAAATAGTTTTAATATTAGGTATTAATGTCAAATCTGTATTCTCCTCTGAACTTTCCAAGGTTTAACATGACTATCTAGGAAAACTGAGCTGTCATTTTGATATCAAGCCACTTAGTGGCAGCAGACTACCCATTATAGTTTTGTCCTTAAAAGTTTAGTAAGCTCCTAAATTAGACTGAAACTGCCACTGATATGATCTGGGAGCTCCATCTGGGAGTTTTATTTATTTTTAACATAAGTAAGGTGTACTTAGAAGTTTATACTTAGGTTTAAATTTAATTTACACAGAATGCAGAGGGTAACTGAGGCAAACACAGTTCAGGACATTTACGCTGAAACTTCAAACTGACCTGGTGTCAAGTCTGTTGATAGTCTTAAAGGATTAGTGTGACTGCTCACTCAAAGCCTTGTTTAGCCTCAGTGTGAACACACACTGCCATACGCCTCTCCTATGTTCATTTTAAAAACTGATCAAAGGAAGAAGATGTGTCTGGCCTTTATGATGCTATATGAAACACTCACGCAATCCTGTGGATTCCATTCGAGATGCTGTGTTGACAGTGTCTCCAAACAGACAGTACCGAGGCATCGTGAGACCCACAACTCCTGCGACAACTGGGCCTGCAAACAAAGTAGGCAAGAACAAACACACACAAAGGTTGCCCTGAAAAAACATCTCATCTTGGTAAGCAATATCTTATATTGTAAACCATTTTAAATGTCAACATTTTACACTGTGGCATCTGACTACTACTCTAAAGATTTTTCAAAACAGTTTCCGTTCCAGTGCTTTGAGACTCATACTCATTCCAATAAATGTACACAACTGTGTATAAAGCAAGTCGTAGAGTTAGAAATTAAAAGTATGTGGTGTGTTAATTGGGTAACCGCACTCTAAGTGGATAGCTTTTCACTGTTCCAGGGCTGGGTTCCAGACAAGGATAAAAGAGGTAAAAATACCCCAATGCCTTAGTAGCCTGGATTCCTGTATCCTCCTACCTCAGCAGCAAATTAGCATTTACACAGTTTGAAATGGGCTTGGATCTATGTCACACTATGCCACTCGTTACACATGTGTGTGATTCTTAATTACTCATGGTAAAGAATTTGCCAGGTTCAAGATATTATATCATGGTGATCAGAGTATGGTTAACCACAGCACAGAAAGGATGAACACGCTGCTCACCAGAGTGCAGGCCAATACGGATCCTAACTTTTAGTTCAGGCATGTGCCTCATTTTAAAGGTCCCAATGCAGTGGAGGATGTCAAGAGACATGTTGGCCATCTCAGCCGCATGACGGTTGCCGATCCTGGTGGGGACTCCAGAGGCTACCATGTAGGCATCTCCAATAGTTTCCACCTAAATACCATAAAAATAGGAGTTGATCACAGTGGGTGTGATGTGTGGTGTTTTTTTTCTCAGCAATTGAACATCCTTTAGAAAAGCCCTGAAAGTAGTGATCACCACTGACATGAAGGAATTCCCTAATGTATATAACATTAGCTGAGGTAGTTTTGTTTTTCTTTTAATAGTATATTGTACATTTAGATTAAACCGAGGAGCAAAAGAAGCAATGTTTTAGCAACAGAACCCTAGAATAGTTTTTATTTTTTATTTGACTGGAAATACAAACATTTAAATTGGGATAAATTAGGTCAGAATAAAAGCACATAGTTAAGTCTGGCTTATTTCTACTGAATGCTGTTGAGAACCTAATCTATATACGTTCTACACAGTACCATAAATATATAACATACTATTCCATTGGCCTACAATATAAATCAAACAAAAACAGATTTGTTGTTTGAAATACACCAAAGCTGATTTATAAAACCTACTAAAGATCTGCTGTGTCTGTCATTTTATACCACCAATATCAAAAACAACATAAAATACTATAAATTAAATCACCCATCTGCTTTTCATAATTAACTGACAAAACTAGTTTGCTGTCCCCATAATGCCATTACATCTAAGAGCAATGATAGTTTGACCTTCATCATAAGACTGCTGGCCATGAATACCTACCCCTAGCATGTTACTAGCATGTCACTATTACTTTGAAAGTTATTCAGTAATGGTGGTTTTCATCAGGACCTATCTCAGGAACTTTTGAAGATTGATCAAATTTGTTGACATCCTACTGAGTCAGCAGATTTTCAGCTAGGACTGGATTTTAGCTGCAAGTCTGTAGCATCATTTGCCTCACAGTAGCACGTTTCTGTGAAATGAGAAAAATTGTCCACACACTGAATATAAAAAATAAATTATTAGTCTGGGGGAAGACCATGTTGGTTGAAATGCAGCATTGTCTAATACATTTGTTCTTCAAGAATCACGTAGCCACTCGCTTATCTTCCTAGCTCTTGTTATTCTCCTGCACCTGTGCCCAGTTTGGTTTGGATGTGCACACTTTTTTTTGCCTTTTATGCTGTGAACAAACACACAAACCAACAAACGCCGGTGCATAACTTCCTTGGTGAAAGTAAGTAATACTGTAGGCACCGTATATACAGTGGTGTGAAAAAGTGTTTGCCCCCTTACTGATTTCTTATCTTTTTGCATGTTTGTCACACTGTAATGTTTCAGATCGTCAAACAAATTTATATATTAGTCAAAGATAACACAAGTAAACACATCATGCAGTTTTTAAATGAAGGTTTTTATTATTAAGGGAAAACAAAATCCAAAACTATATAGCCCTGTGTGAACAAGTGTTTGCCCCCCTGTCAAAACACTGGTTTATCGCACCTGAGTTCAATTTCTCTAGCCACACCCAGGCCTGATTACTGCCACACCTGTTCGCAATCAAGAAATCACTTAAATAGGACCTGCCTGACAAAGTGAAGTAGACCAAAAGATCCTCAAAAGCTAGACATCATGCCGAGATCCAAAGAAATTCAAAACCAAATGAGAAAGAGAATAATTGAGCTCTATCAGTTTGGAAAAGGTTATAAAGCCATTTCTAAAGCTTTGGGACTGCAGCGAACCACAGTGAGAGCCATTATCCACAAATGGCGAAAACATGGAACAGTGGAGAACCTTCCCAGGAGTGGCCGGCCGACCAAAATTACCCCAAGAGCGCAGCGACAACTCATCCAAGAGGTCACAAAAGACCCCACAACAACATCCAAAGAACTGCAGGCCTCACTTGCCTCAGTTAAGGTGAGTGTTCATGACTCCACCATAAGAAAGAGACTGGGCAAAAATGGTTTGCATGGCAGAGTTCCAAGACGAAAACCACTGCTGAGCAAAAAGAACATAAAGGCTCGTCTCCGTTTTGCCAGAAAACATCTTGATGATCCCCAAGACTTTTGGGATAATACTCTGTGGACAGATGAGACAAAAGTTGAATTTTTTGGAAGGTGTGTGTCCCATTATGTGTGGCGTAAAAGTAACACCGCATTTCAGAAAAAGAACATCATACAAACAGTAAAATATTGGTGGTGGTAGTGTGATGGTCTGGGGCTGTTTTGCTGCTTCAGGCCCTGGAAGACTTGCTGTGATAAATGGAACCCTGAATTCTGCTGTGTACCAAAATATCCTGAAGGAGAATGTCCGGCCATCCGTTTGTGACCTCAAGCTGAAGCGAACTTGGGTTCTGCAGCAGGACAATGATCCAAAGCACACCAGCAAGTCCACTTCTGAATGGCTGAAGAAAAACAAAATGAAGACTTTGGAGTGGCCTAGTCAAAGTCCTGACCTGAATCCAATTGAGATGCTGTGGCATGACCTTAAAAAGGCGGTTCATGCCCGAAAACCCTCCAATGTGGCTGACTTACAACCATTCTGCCAAGATGAGTGGGCCAAAATTCCTCCACAGCGCTGTAAAAGACTCATGGCAAGTTATCGAAAACGCTTGATTGCAGTTGTTGCTGCTAAGGGTGGCCCAACCAGTTCTTAGGTTTAGGGGGCAAACACTTGTTCACCCAGGGCTATATAGTTTTGGATTTTGTTTTCCCTTAATAATAAAAACCTTCATTTAAAAACTGCATGATGTGTTTACTTGTGTTATCTTTGACTAATATATAAATTTGTTTGACGATCTGAAACATTACAGTGTGACAAACATGCAAAAAGATAAGAAATCAGTAAGGGGGCAAACACTTTTTCACACCACTGTAGCTAGATCCCCCAGTACTCACCTTGTAGACATCATGCAGCCCAATGATAGCATCAAAGAGTGTGTAGAGGTCATTTAGTAAGTCGACCACCTCGATGGGCTCGCTGAGGGCTGAAATGGTGGTGAAGCCTACAATGTCACTGAAGTATAGAGTGACCTCATCGAAATACTCGGGTTTGACAGGCTTGCCTGTCTTCAGTGCTTGTGCCACGGACCTGAAAGGAGGAAGGCAATTAGTGCAGGACACTCAAAGTTTGTTCACAAGAGCCTGAGAGCATTGAAAGTTGTGTTACACTTCCATGGCTTTCATTCAGCAGCACAGACAGCACAGCCTCCCACCCTGTTACTAGTGATCATTGGAAACAAGTGAAGTGAAAGGTGCAGCAAAAACATAACTGAGAAACAGTATGATGTGAGTACACAGTGCACTGACAGTGTGGTGTGACTCTGCTTTTTATATGCTGTTAATGATTAAATACATAAAAGCCACTTCTCTATGACATATTATTTGAGCAAAAGGATAAAATAATTGGTATACTCAGCAAATTGCAAATATTCCCACAGTTCATGAATGCAGCAGAACTATCAACATATTCTCACTCTCTCATCTGATAAAAAAATCTCCCACAGCCTTTTTTCTCTGTGGGCTTGGTTCCGATGCTTTTTAGACTCCTAGTTTCCATGGTGCCTGAGAATTATTACGTTCCTACAGAAGCCTTCATTTTTCTTCTATGTTTCTGAATCGCCACCAGATTTAGCTTCTGCACCTGTCTTTGACCTCTGACCTCCCTGAAGCATTCACTTACTGTACTGTAGTTTGATGGTTCAGTATCCCATTACTATTGCTCTAGGCTTCCAGAGGCTATTGCTGCTCATTAACCGCAGTAGCTGTGCTGTGTGTCCAGGGTGACTTGAGGCATGACACCATGGTTTTATCATGCCTTTCATGTGCCACTGAAGGTTGCTGGACATTCACCTGGGCAACATCTGAGCCACCAGATTGTCAGTCTTCTGTCGCTCCACCTCCAGCTCCTCTGTCCTCTCTCTGATCAGATCTTCCAAATTGGAGGAATACTGTTCCAACATTCGCAACATAGAGTCAATAATGTTGGTCTTCTTTCCCTTGGTGATGCTCTTGAACTGTTTCATGAAAAGAAGGGATCAGGAATAGGATCTCCAGCTCGCTAATATATAAAGAAACACATGTGTGTCAGTGTGTGTTTCCACTGTTTTTACCCATTTGAAGATCTCCTCAAAGGTCGGCCTTTTGTCTGGTTCTTCACTCCAGGCTTGTTTCATGACCTGTATCACGTCCAGCGGGGCCTCGTCCACTGAAACAACAGGCCGACACAAAGGAGGAGGTTTTCTGACCTTGCTGATAATCTCTGTCAACACACAGACAAGAGCATGTAAGTGTTCAGAACATACATAAAGGCACAAAAGCAGACACATTTTGTGCAGCTAGTTGTGTCTGTTAACTATAAAAAGCAGACAAAGAGAAACAATTCTAATATTTGTATTGTATTTGTTCTATTTTGTGAATACAAAATAAGATAGTATGCAGACAGCAGAAACACACAAAGAAGAATAACATACTTTCTAGTTGATAGCTAATTGTCAGTGCTATCATGTGTCACATATCTGAAGATGTCATTCCATCTACTTTACCCTCCAACAAACCACTGTAGTGATACAGTACATTCACATTTAAGATTGAACATAACAAGACTGAAAACAAATGTGTTCATGAAATTCATTGTATATTATTATGCACACAGGTCAGTCACTGGTCTAGAACATAAAGGGTGGGATGAACATTTCAAAAAGCTGATTCACAGATTTGCCAAAAAGATTTAAAATTGGAGTAACCCTTTTGCACATCTCTCCATCCTTTGGAGTTAATAATGCTTCACTCACCCTTGGGAGGCATGTCCAGCATGCAGAAAGGTGAAGAGCGAGAGATGACTTCCTGAACAATGATGGAAAAGCTGTAGACATCTCCAGAGAAAGTTCCCCTCCTCCTCAGACTGTAACTTCGCAGCAGCTCAGGAGCCGTCCAAAGCAGATCTTTTTTTTTTTATTGAAAACAGATTCATGAACATTATTATTAAACAAAGACATTTCATAGGCAAACTGAAAATTAGTCAGTGGATACACATAAACTCACCCTCTGGCTTTTCCTCTTCTGTGTCAATGTCCTGGGCAATCAAAATTTCGTTGAACCCATAATCTGTCACCTTCAACACAAAGCGCCCATCCACCATACAGTTACGAGATTTTAGCCGTCCATGGATGATGTCACGATGGTGCAGGTACTTCATTCCCTGGTGATGGTTTGTAGAAAATGTGTGAGTGATTAAAAACATGGTGAAGTTGGAAATGAAGCACTAATACGTCTTTCTGTCTCATTTTACCCGGATTAGATCAATTAACAATGAAGACTTGAACATCCAGTCAAGACGCACGTCCTCGTTGTTGAGCAGATCCTCCAAGCTGCCCCTTGTGCAGTGCTCGGTCACGATGCCAAAGATCCCAGAATCGAAGAACAGTCCTAGCAACAGGTTGATGTTCTCGTGCCTCACGTCTCTGAGCTGAGAGAAAGACAAAGAAAATGTAACTTCATTTTGTAACCTAATATTACTGTGCTTGCTACATCTGGGTTTTTTTTTTATTCAAACTTTGTACTTTACAGCATATCACTGCATAATCACACATTTTTATGTATTATGTATTGTCATGGTTTCTGAAGTCAGCATGCTAAGGACAAGTGAGACACCTTTGGCTACAAATAAAAACAAACACTTGAATAAAGAAATTCCCTCATGCATTCTCTTACCTTGACAAAGACAAACTCTGTGCTGCTGTTGACAGATGACACTGATCCACTGGGACACTTCTTCAACCAAACCCAGTCACCCTGGGAGGAAAACAAAACAGCAAAATCTTTGTGAATCTAATAGCATCCAAAGGCCATGAGCTCCAAAATGATAAACAGTCAGACTCGCCTCACCTCGAACACAGCAACGTTTGAGCTGTCTGGTGTTGCGGCCAAGTAGCTGCGGCCAGACGTCGAGTGGTGAGGTGTCTTCATATCCAGCTGGCTTCTGAAAATACTTTCATCATTGAGCTTCTGCTCTCACACACAGTTCGGAGAGGAGGTGTCAGCTTACTGTACATCAATCATCTTTTATAAGTAAACAACTTTCACGCATCACATTCTTGCAAAGAGAAGCAAACCACAGTCAGTAATGTCAGAGATTCAACACAAAACTGACCCTTTTGCTGATCTGAGTGTTGATGAAGACTAGGTCATCGAGGGTCAGGACTGTCTTTGTCCGTCCAACGTTAGCGCTGCCTCCAACGCTAAGCCCAACCCTGCCACCTGTCCTGTAACAGACAAGACAATCAAAAAGTTCTAAAAATCACCCAGGGCTGCACTGGATGATGTGTTGTTCTTTAATAATCTGCTGGACATACTTGAAACGAATAAAGATGTTAACTCCAAATCCAGCCAGTGAAATGAACACAAGGAAAAGAAAGAAGAAAGTGACTGTATCTAAGCCTTTGGGAAGAGGAGAAAAACACAGACAGGTAGGATGAGTGTGTGTACACCATGCCAGTTTATATTTATGTTTTCTGTGATGATGTCATTAATGCGCTCACCTCCAGTACAAGCAAAGTAGGGACTAAACCAGCAGCTTGAGTCTCTGTACGGTGTGCTGCCTGCAAAATGGATTGAACGACTAAGGTACCTCAAGCCCCCTGTCTTGCCGTCTGTATGAGCTGCATGCAGAGTATGAGTGGAGTAGAGGGAGCTGCCTACGCCATTGTAGTCCAGTACTACATAGGAAGCCTGCATGCCGTCACCATTTTTGCTGGCTTTCAGTGGCTGATTGAATCCTGCAAAATCAAAGTTGCCTTCACTGTCGCCCAGCATCTGACCAGTTACCCAGCGGCCTCCATTGGCACGGGCCTGTTCAGCAGTCATAGCTATGTAGTACATCATGTTGTAGATTGTGCCAAAGAATGGAGAAACCTGACAGAGGACAGTGATGTAATGGTTGTGATTAAAATTTAAATGTTTCCAAAAGTGCCTTTGTTTGTCTGTTTCTTCCACAAATGTCATCATTTTCTACTAAGACTTAATTATTACAGTGTACAGCAGACAGTCTTACTTGTTCTGGTGGGGTGCTGGTGTGAATTTCATAGCTGTCCTGAGCATCTTTGAAGGCCTCATAGAAATTACGTTCTCCAGAGTCAACAGTGATGGTGAGGACCCCATCATAGGCTTTCTGCAGCTTGGTGTCATTGCCTAGCAAATAATAAAATGCATTTTGGTAGGGTAGTGAGTACAGGAGGGTGTCATAAGGGATGAACACATAGCCGCGGTCGATCATACGCATGGCCAGCGCTGTTGTCAGAAGCTGATACTGGGTTTGGCCACCAATCAAAACAGAAGGCATGCACATGATGACCACTGTGGAGAGAGGACAGTTTAAAATGGTTTAATGATTTATCGTGCATGATTCAAGTGGAATAAAGTAATGTGGAGGTTGTCTTAATGTTGTTAGGCATTAACACCTCTACATGTGCAACTCACCTCTGACACGGTCTGTTTCCCTCACTTTTGTCAGGGCTCTGCGAGGCCCATCCTTGTCAGCCCCCATAGTGACCACAGGTTTGACAGGCAGGCCGAGGGCCCTCAGAGAAGAGGCCAGCTCCTGTCCTGTGGCTTCCCACATGTCTGTCTCCTCTGAGATTATGGCCACATGGGCCCAGTGGAAGTACCGCAACACAGTGAAAAGTACATTGGAGGATAGCGGCAGCGGCCTTAGGAAGGTGGGATACATGTGTCCTTTTTTCATGTTGGGTTTGAGGCAAGCCCAAGAAAATATTCCAGCATCCCACTCTTTTGCATACAAAGCTGCTGAGGAGCAGTAGCTTGGGTTGGCAGGGCCCAGGAAAGCAGCACCATAACCTTCCAGCTTAGAAAAGTGAACAAGGGCATGTGAGGACTTACAGTCCTCATTAATCAGTGTGTAGTCATACCAGTAGCCCTTGTTGAGGTAGGGGTCCTTGTTTATGCGGGTGGTGGCGAGACGGGCTGCCAAGTCAGGGAGGGCTTTAGAGTACAAGAGGTCACACGTCCAGGGTCCAACCAGGGCTACCTTGAAAGTGGTCGCCCAGGCTTGACAGGGCAGAAATGAGACTATGAATAAGGGCAGAAGAAACCAGCTCCCCCACCAGTTCCTGGAGTTCTGCACAGGGGATAATGGCAACTGTGATTTTGCTAACAATGCTCTTGAGGACAGTGATGATGTCGGTAATGATTCAAACAGACTATACCCGCCCCAACTCTTTGTAACCACCATTTGTATATGTCTTTTTCTCTTCACTTTTACTGAGTCATACTGCCATCGTGGGTGGTAGGACAGGTTGTGCAGAAGATGAGGGTCTCTGTGACTCGTCATTTCCTCACACTGCTATTCTGATGCTTTGGACACAGAAGAAGAGTGGCAAGTGTATGGTGATTAGTGTGATGGATTGTTTTTGTGGATCGGGCTGTCTCCCTTGGCACTCAGCAGGCCTCTAGTCCAAAGCTGGACAGGTGTCAATACGACCCTGTGTCATCAGTGTATCCAGAAAACAAGAAAAGTAGAGTAATCAATTAGAAAATATGCAGTATGACATTAGAGTGTGATGTGTATTTGCCTCATAGAGGATACAGACGTGATCCTGATCCTGACAGACTGTGATAGTAAATCTTACCAGCATCCATCTGTCTCAGAGTGCCAGTACTATTCCTTGGAGAATTAATGGCATGTGTGTAACAAGCTGATTAGCTCTGTCAGGGCCATGGAGTTTATAATCAAGTACCAAGTAGCATGGGACTAAACCTGACCTTGAAAACTCTTCTCCTTTCTGAATCATTCTCTTAAGCTTTTCTCAGCGATCCATGTCTGGATGATTTCTTGTGTCCTGCTCCAGTCACTCCTCAGATTCTTGTAACCAGAATCTCAATTTGGCTCATCTGACAGAAATATCTCAAGATTAATAAAATGGATCTGAATATTTTTGTTTAATGCAAGAGATAGTTTGATGAAGCTTGCACCAGTGTTTCAGGTTTGTTTAGAAAACAAATTGGGCCCTCTAACTCTTCATACCTTAAAAGAATTTATAAACAGAAATAAAAGGCAGCAAAACTGAAAACCGAGTAATGAATTTAATTTCTTACATTTTTAACTACTTCCTATATACTGGTTAGACTAACTTGTTAAAATATTATTTAAAATATTTTCAAAAACAGACAGGACACCTTTACTGTATATAAAGCAATTATTTTAAAGCACACTTTTCTTAGAGGACCTCTGCTGCAAACAGGTCTGAACAAAGATAAAATGATAAATTAGTTGTTCACCTTAACACAGAAACACCTGTATAAATGCTAAGAGATAAGAAGATTTGGTAAAACAGGTTTAATCACTTAATAATTCTCACCTGAAACAGGAGCCATGTTTGTGCTGCCTGTCATTGAATAGCACCATCCAAACCCCAGGTGGATTAAGTATACAGAAGTATACAGCAAGAACAGCTATTGTTGGTCTTTTATTGTAAAAAAAATATCATGGGTAATCCAAATGAAAGTATGAAAATAAAATAAAAAAATTTAAATTATCTTCTCTTGCATTCAAGTTCCTTTGAGTCACTGCTGAAAATTCAAAATCTCAACATTTCCAGGAGGTTAGCATTGCTTTATTTCCTGCTGCCCCTGTTTTGGACTGGGACCCACCCCAAACCACAGAGCAACGGGACCATGCATGAGAAGACTCGCAAAGCTTGGACTGGTAAAAAATAGATCTGCAAAGAGTTGGGTACAGGTACCAGGTAACAAATCAAAGAGAGCAAGAGACAGGTGAGCTTTGACTTCTCAGCCCTATTGAGCTTTTAATCCACACTAGCGAGGGAAGAGTGTGTGTTTGTGTGAGATGGATGAGTGGGAGGAGGGGTGTTGGAGAAGAGGAATAAGCAGAAACCTTTTCACTCTGTAGCTTTAAAACAGCGTGTAAGCTGAGGTGCAGAGAAAATTTTATGTTCACCACTGTTTTAAAACCTTGAACACTGTAAAGTGATTTCATAGATGAATGCAGATGCTTGATAGTCAGAACTGGGAATAAGTGAGATGGCAATGGCAGCTATATTAAAGGTACACACCAGGACTGTTGTTCTTCAGATCACATGTTTCCTGTCTTATTGATGGAGGAGAAATGAACAGCAAAACATGTACAATCACCCACTTCATTCATCAAAACACAATTTCAAATCATAATCCTTATTAGTGTTGTTTGTATCAGTGATCACTGTGCTTACATTAACCTGCATAATTACTGTATTGAGAAACTCCCTACTCTAATTATCTAAGCTAAATGTGCCTGAAGCAAAAATGATAAAATTACATAAAACACCTGGGGCTTGAAGCTGGAGCAGTGATTAAGGTGTTTGTGCTTGTAGCCTCTTATAAACCTGCTGCTGCATTTCAAATCCTTCTGAACCCTCATGCTTTTTGCTGTTTACTTAATCTTCCTACTGTAGCTAAAAATGCTAAGTGTTTGTTTAGCTAATAGGCTACTCTCCTGTCACACAACAGTGAAATGGGTCTTTTATCCAGTATTTAGCCACTTACAGCATCTTCCTGAACTTAACACCTTATAAAAATGTTGATATTAAATATTATTTTTTGTTAGATTATATATTGTTCCAAGATATCCAAGTTTTGGACAAGATAATAATCACAGTGCAAAGGTCAACATGCTAATAAAGGCATAAGTGGTATTTGAGCTATAGCCAAGGCCTGAGCTACTGAAGCTACTGAAGGTCTGCTGTTGCTCTTTTGACTCAGCAGCTTGTATAGTGCACCGCAGCACTACAGCTGGAATTTGGTTTTGGGGGGTGATGGGAAAATCCACATTTTTAAAATGTGTCCCTAATACAAAGATGCTCATGGTGGGTTTTATGAATGTGGATATGGTCTCCTACATGTAGAGGTGTGAGGAGGTGTGTTCTTGTTCGTCCCATCTTGCACATTGATAGCAGCGTTGTTGAAGTAATCAGATTAGTCAGGCTAGGCTTTACTAAACTGATCTGCTGCCTGCAAGCCTCTTAGTGACATGGCTTACAGCACTGACAGAGATCATTTCAAAGCAAGGTCACATACAGTATACAGCCAGCCCTGTTTAGCAAATAACCAGCTTGGTCTGCAGCAGCTGCAACAAAAAAGCACAATATTAACAGGAGGATATCAGCACTTCTGACCTGTTACGTGCTCATTATCGTTGTCCCTAAATGTTAATTATCTGTGGCTTGAACCAACACAGCATTATACTGTAGGTAAAATGCATTTATTTACAGTGCCTTGCGAAAGTATTCGGCCCCCTTGAACTTTGCGACCTTTTGCCACATTTCAGGCTTCAAACATAAAGATATAAAACTGTAATTTTTTGTGAAGAATCAACAACAAGTGGGACACAATCATGAAGTAGAACGAAATTTATTGGATATTTCAAACGTTTTTAACAAATAAAAAACTGAAAAATTGGCCGTGCAAAATTATTCAGCCCCCTTAAGTTAATACTTTGTAGCGCCACCTTTTGCTGCGATTACAGCTGTAAGTCACTTGGGGTATGTCTCTATCAGTTTTGCACATCAAGAGACTGAAATTTTTGCCCATTCCGCCTTGCAAAACAGCTCGAGCTCAGTGAGGTTGGATAGAGAGCGTTTGTGAACAGCAGTTTTCAGTTCTTCCCACAGATTCTCGATTGGATTCAGGTCTGGACTTTGACTTGGCCATTCTAACACCTGGATATGTTTATTTGTGAACCATTCCAATGTAGATTTTGCTTTATGTTTTGGATCATTGTCTTGTTGGAAGACAAATCTCCGTCCCAGTCTCAGGTCTTTTGCAGACACCATCAGGTTTCCTTCCAGAATGGTCCTGTATTTGGCTCCATCCATCTTCCCATCAATTTTAACCATCTTCCCTGTCCCTGCTGAAGAAAAGCAGGCCCAAACCAGGATGCTGCCACCACCATGTTTGACAGTGGGGATGGTGTGTTCAGGGTGATGAGCTGTGTTGCTTTTACGCCAAACATAACATTTTGCATTGTTGCCAAAAAGTTCGATTTTGGTTTCATCTGACCAGAGCACCTTCTTCCACATGTTTGGTGTGTCTCCCAGGTGGCTTGTGGCAAACTTTAAACGACACTTTTTATGGATATCTTTAAGAAATGGCTTTCTTCTTGCCACTCTTCCATAAAGGCCAGATTTGTGCAGTATACGACTGATTGTTGTCCTATGGACAGAGTCTCCCACCTCAGCTGTAGATCTCTGCAGTTCATCCAGAGTGATCATGGGCCTCTTGGCTGCATCTCTGATCAGTCTTCTCCTTGTATGAGCTGAAAGTTTAGAGGGACGGCCAGGTCTTGGTAGATTTGCAGTGGTCTGATACTCCTTCCATTTCAATATTATCGCTTGCACAGTGCTCCTTGGGATGTTTAAAGCTTGGGAAATCTTTTTGTATCCAAATCCGGCTTTAAACTTCTCCACAACAGTATCTCGGACCTGCCTGGTGTGTTCCTTGTTCTTCATGATGCTCTCTGCGCTTTAAACAGACCTCTGAGACTATCACAGTGCAGGTGCATTTATACGGAGACTTGATTACACACAGGTGGATTCTATTTATCATCATTAGTCATTTAGGTCAACATTGGATCATTCAGAGATCCTCACTGAACTTCTGGAGAGAGTTTGCTGCACTGAAAGTAAAGGGGCTGAATAATTTTGCACGCCCAATTATTCAGTTTTTTATTTGTTAAAAAAGTTTGAAATATCCAATAAATTTCGTTCCACTTCATGATTGTGTCCCACTTGTTGTTGATTCTTCACAAAAAATTACAGTTTTATATCTTTATGTTTGAAGCCTGAAATGTGGCAAAAGGTCGCAAAGTTCAAGGGGGCCGAATACTTTCGCAAGGCACTGTAAAAATTACTGCAGGTAGTGCAATGTAGGCCTAACTTCACAAAGGTTTATTCAGCTACTGTACAATGCTGACAAAATACTAAAGTTCAGTCAGAATTTGTTGAGAACAGGACTGGTTTGATATAAAGGGCAACATCTTGTTTTTTGGACTTGGTTCACTAAGAATTTTCTTAACCAAATGTAATAAATGTACTGTATCTACATTTTCATATTCCATGTGTCTTCAGCAAACAGCATGTGTTCGGCTAGTGTTGTGTGATTTAATAATTTACAAGTACACTTCTCTCAGAATCCGTTCCTTTCTCTGGTGAAGCTATTTGTCAAAGTTGATTAATCACATGCTGAAAAAACCCTTCCAGGGGAGTGCTAGAGAAGCTTAGATGTTAGCCTGGATGACCCCACCTGAATTATCAGCTGAATTAATTTGGCCGCGTCCCACGGTGATATCACTCAGTCTTTCCTGGATCACCGGATCAAAGCTGAATGGGAAAGCAGGGAATCTTCCCTGAAAAGCATTGAAGAATGTTTTTTAAAATGTTTGTTGGTTAATAGGAAACTTGTCTCTGTTCTAGACACTTGCCCGAGAACTGACGTTGCTGCCTGAGAGCTGTGACTGCACACTGCTATTAAAAATACATGCAGGAAATGGTGAGGATAATTTTTCCCACTGTAATCTTTTTTATTCTTAGAAGTATAACATGTATACACACAGTTCAGATGGAGTTTTTCAGATAGATGTATACTAAGGTATATTTACAAGTGTCATTGTATTATACAGTCATGAGTTGAGTGTTAATCGGTGTGATGACATGGGGGAGGAATCTGTCGCTGTGTCTGGTTGTTTAAAAGCGGTAGGGGACTTCACACAGCTCCAGTGGTTTGTTGAAGATCTGTGTGAAGATAGGGGTCAGTTGATCAGCACAAGCTTTCAATATCACAAACACTACAAAGAAGTAAATAAAGAGGACTGTCACGCATGGATGTAAGGTCCAGCTGTGGCATGTAAGAGTGCTGCACCTACTACCCTCTGGTGGACAACAGTGGCCTCCCCAAGTGAATTAGCCAATAAAACATAGTCATACAGTAAAGATCTAACAAAACATAAATAAACAGCCAACTGATTTCAGACAAATCTGTTAAGTCGCCCCCATTTCTTTGACATTAACAACTGAGACACATGTTTGTAAAGCAGTTTTCCCTGCCTCTTATGTCCAATTATTCATTTATTCTACACTCGCAGGTGCAGCAGGCTGTGAAAGAAGGAAACATTATATGTATTGATAGTGCACATCTAGATATCTAACCTCTACCCTCTGTACCTAACTAACACTCACATCATTTTGTGTGTGTGTGTTTCCTTCTGTCATACTTGCACTAGAAAAGACAGTTGAACAGGGAACAGTTAGGTTCATACAGTTTTTACAACACAGTGTGCAAATAATGAAATAAAAATAAAGATATTTATTTGTGACATGGGGGAATCTGGAGCCTTCAGGCCGCCTGAGGGTTTGAGATCCCAGTGCAGTTGATCACATGCATGTGAGCACTCAGTCTGCCACTCCTGTTCTATGTTTAAAATATTGTGCCATCAAATACAGGCATATTTTGTAAAGAATTCTGTTCTGAGGCAGGGCACCAAGATTGAAAGAAATCCACAAGAAAGCAGCCTCACATAGGAAAGATAAAATATGTGGTTGCAGAGAAATATAAAAGATATATCTTCTACATGATAAGCAACTTTTTTCTCTTGACGTGGATCACTGCACTATGTACAAGTGTAATTTCTAGACTATCACAAATATTATCACTCAGACATTTAATCTGGAGCATTTTCAGTTTATCCATGTACAGATGTTGATTTTACATGAATGGCTAGAACTGTTTCTGCTGACACTCAACTTGACACATTGTAAGTGCAGTAAAGACTTATCAGCTGTCAGCAATACTGTGTCATGTTCACAACTACATGACTGTTTTTATCTCTTGTGCAGCTCCTTGAAGAGGAGTCATAGTTTTGTTTTGGACTTTTGTGATTAGATGCAACACGTGTAACGAGGACACGTTATTTTACTGAATGTGCTGCTGTTCCCCCATGCCACATCCCATAATGTGTTAAATGGTCATTTCACCAATTTTACACATCAAGTTATTCATCAGGTTACAACTTAGCCCGTGAAAACATCTGTTTAGTCTTCTGCGGCACTAGCAAAGTATGGACATGCTAAGCTAATGATGTCATAGTGATGTTATCAGGGTGATGACATCTCAGCTTTGATGAGTACAGATTTATAGCAGAAAGTCTGGGTTGCAGATTGGGAAAGTGGAGTTTGAAACATGACAATAAGATGCAATATGGGAACTGTAGGAGCTAGTGTTCTTGTTGATTGACCCACCCTGAAAGTTAAAGTATCTCTCATGCTGCTTTAATTTTGCACAGTTTTGTTTATTCACTATGTATGAGTGAATACTGGATGAGTTCAAACAACCAGGAGGAAACACGGATCTGACTGTTTCTTAAATAACAAAAAGGCAGCTTTGTGTTTTTAGAGAAACTGACAAATGTTTAAAGCAACAACAACTTCAGCCTAGAAAGAATTCTCAAAATTCATCTGTGCACAATACATTTTAACTAGAAAATGTCTCTCTATTTGTGTGGTGTTTTCTTATGCTATATCTCTGAATCAAGGTTTTAAAAATTGGACCAGTTCCCTTAGTTCAGTCTCCAGGGAGCTGCCAGGGTTTCGGTGTATAATGGAATGCAGGGGAGCTCCCACACTCACTCTTTATGATAGCAAAAATGAGAGGTGGAGTAGTGTGGGAGGAGCACAGTATATAAAACTCATTTTCTCTGATATAAAATTTGAATGAGCCTCCTTTTAATCATTTGTGCATTGTGCCATAAGGAAATCCTGTTTGTTCAGGAGCTGGGCTACAAAATGTCATTCTACGATGTACTGGCCATCACTGGGGGATTTACTCTTGTTTTCTGGCTGCTGAAACTATGCTGGCCATGTTTCTGTGCACTTCGACTATATGTGTTCTCAGAGCTCTGGCAAGTGGATTTTAGGAGATATGGGCAGTGGGCAGGTAAAGTCAAAGAAAATGCAATTTATTGGGTTTTACAGGTTTCTTTGCCGTAAAACACAATTAACAGTGTCAGATTACAAGCATGTACTAATTGAAATGTTGCTAGTGTTTTATTAAATCAGTTCTACCACAGATGACTAATGTAGATCTTATTAAGATCTGTGGTTATAGTGAAAGATGAGGACAAGTTAGTGAACACGGGTGCAGGAAGCTGAAATGTCACAATATTTCCTTTTTTTCAGCATTATCTAACAGCAGCAGCACACACCAAGCTTTACATTTCTGTGTAGCCTGTTTGATATTCCTTCTTGATAGAACATTTCCATCCTATTTCCTGCAAATATTTAAAACATCTGCAGACATGTGTCCACTTCAGTTTTACTTCAAAGCCATTTTTCCATCTTCTTTTGCTGAGATGAGGCAGTTTTTGTCACTTACATGACAGATTTCCTGATTAAAAAAAAAAAAAAACATTTGAAATGTTCTCAAAGGTGAATTTTATGAAGATACTGAAGAGGATACTCATGTTTCTTAAGGAGCAGGTTTTAATACACAGTCTAACAGTAGCAGGTAGTGTTTTTTTCTGCATTACAAAGTGAGAAACTGAGAAACTATAACTGAACTTAGCCTTAGTAGGCCAAATAGTCAAATCAATAAAGTACAGTATTGTTCAAAATAATAGCAGTACAATGTGACTAACCAGAATAATCCAGGTTTTTAGTATATTTTTTATTGCTACATGGCAAACAAGTTACCAGTAGGTGCAGTAGATTCTCAGAAAGCAAACAAGACCCAGCATTCATGATATGCACACTCTTAAGGCTGTGCAATTGGGCAATTAGTTGAAAGGGGTGTGTTCAAAAAAATAGCAGTGTCTGCCGTTGACTGTACAAACACAAAACTATTTTGTACAAACGTTTTTGTTTCTAGGATTTAGCAATCCTGTGAATCACTAAACTAATATTTAGTTGTATGACCACAGTTTTTTATAACTGCTTCACATCTGTGTGGCATGGAGTCAACCAACTTGTGGCACCTTTCAGCTGTTATTCCACTCCATGATTCTTTAACAACATTCCACAATTCATTTACATTTCTTGGTTTTGCTTCAGAAACAGCATTTTTGATATCACCCCACAAGTTCTCGATTGGATTAAGGTCCGGGGATTGGGCTGGCCACTCCATAACATTAATTTTGTTGGTTTGGAACCAAGACTTTGCTCGTTTACTAGTGTGTTTGGGGTCATTGTCTTGTTGAAACAACCATTTCAAGGGCATGTCCTCTTCAGCATAAGGCAACATGACCTCTTCAAGTATTTTGACATATGCAAACTGATCCATGATCCCTGGTATGCGATAAATAGGCCCAACACCATAGTAGGAGAAACATGCCCATATCATGATGCTTGCACCACCATGCTTCACTGTCTTCACTGTGTACTGTGGCTTGAATTCAGAGTTTGGGGGGCGTCTCACAAACTGTCTGTGGCCCTTGGACCCAAAAAGAACAATTTTACTCTCATCAGTCCACAAAATGTTCCTCCATTTCTCTTTAGGCCAGTTGATGTGTTCTTTGGCAAATTGTAACCTCTTCTGCACGTGCCTTTTTTTTAACAGAGGGACTTTGCGGGGGATTCTTGAAAATAGATTAGCTTCACACAGACGTCTTCTAACTGTCACAGTACTTACAGGTAACTCCAGACTGTCTTTGATCATCCTGGAGCTGATCATTGGCTGGGCCTTTGCCATTCTGGTTATTCTTCGATCCATTTTGATGGTTGTCTTCCGTTTTCTTCCACGTCTCTCTGGTTTTGCTCTCCATTTTAAGGCATTGGAGATCATTTTAGCTGAACAGCCTATAATTTTTTGCACCTCTTTATAGGTTTTCCCCTCTCCAATCAACTTTTTAATCAAAGTACGCTGTTCTTCTGAACAATGTCTTGAACGACCCATTTTCCTCAGGCTTTCAAATGCATGTTCAACAAGTGCTGGCTTCATCCTTAAATAGGGGCCACCTGATTCACACCTGTTATTTCACAAAATTGATGACCTCACTGATTGAATGCCACACTGCTATTTTTTTGAACACACCCCTTTCAACTAATTGCCCAATTTCACAGCCTTAAGAGCGTGCATATCATGAATGCTGGGTCTTGTTTGCTTTCTGAGAATCTACTGCACCTACTGGTAACTTGTTTGCCATGTAGCAATAAAAAATATACTAAAAACCTGGATTATTCTGGTTAGTCACATTGTACTGCTATTATTTTGAACAATACTGTATAATAGCTTCTGTCATGACTGAACAACCACGTTAAACAAATACACATGGCCTAATAATTGTAAAATCAAAGTCCAACTGATTCCTCTAACACTTCTGTGTATTTTCTCTTCATGCAGTTGTCACTGGTGCCACATCTGGCATTGGCAAAGCTTATGCCTGTGAGGTGGGTTTCCAATTCCTTGATACAATTCTTAAACATTTTCAGTCCAAATTCCAAGCTTATAGCTGAGGACAGCCATTTGTTAAGCTATTTAATACTGAGTGTTTCACTTTGCACCAGTGCAGAATCTTTAATCGGTTAAGAGACTGACCAGGCTTATCTGACTGCATGTCTCCTTCTAGTTGGCACAACGAGGCCTGAATATTGTTTTGGTAAGCAGATCTGATGATAAGCTTCACAGGGTTGCAAAAGAGATAGGTGAGTCAAGTGATACTGTGATAATACTGATGTTCTATTGTTTGTCACTTGCTGTAACACAAAACATAATTTGTCTATTACAGAGGATCAATATGGAAAAAAGACTCACATCATCAATGCTGACTTCACACATGGCCACAGCATTTATCCTGCTATAGCCAAGAAACTTGAAGGCTTGGAGATTGGAATTCTGGGTAATGGAATAACCAGGTGTAGAGCAGAGGACAAACACTATGAATAACATGACAAAAGAAACAAGTTGTTAGCCTCACAGGAGTGCCAGTAATATGCTTATTTGTTTTCTTGCTGATGAGAAAATTGACACCACTGTCTTGCCTTTAAGGTTAATATGTGTGACCTTAGCTTGGCACAGTGACTGACAACATGGGGAAACAAGCTAGCCTGGCTTTGTCTGATGGCAACACGATGTGCCTACCAGCTCCTCTCATACTCATGAAGATTAGTGCATGACAATTTCTGGGCTGGGCATTGAGATTTGCTGGAGTTTTGCCATTATGATGAGGTTGCCAGCCAGCAGAGATTTCAGGAAAGCACTACCTAAAAATATTCTTGCACGTAACCCCCATGTTGATCACAGCATGTCAGTTTTACACTTTGGTTTTGTCTGGATTAAACAAAAAAGATATAATGTGTTAATTAGTGCTCTTTAGATGAGCTCGTAGGTGGACTTTATAACTCTGGGCTCTTTGTGCTAAGTTAAGCTAAGCTAACAATGTGCTGGCTGTAAATCTGTATTTTTCATACAGATGTGGGATGGTCCATCCAGATTTTCATCCAACTCTGAACAAGAAAGTGGCTAAGCATATTACCAGAATTACTGTTACCTTAAAGGTTGATCCATCTGCATCTTATTTGATCAGATTTTTTAACATGTTGTCTAATCCAACTGCCTTTAAGTTAAATAAGGTCATCCTGAACCTTGCCAAACAAATGAGCAATACAATTGCAAGTGCTAACTCTGACAGGCAAAATACTTGAAAGGGATATCAGTAAATTCATCATTCAAAAACTGACAGAAGACATTGCTTATTACAAATTGTCTTGTTTGTGTCTTTGTAACCCACATAGTTAACAATGTAGGAATGGTCTATTCTGATCATTTTGCCTATTTCCTGGAAGTACCAGATGCAGAAGAGGTAAATTTTATATTATATATGTAATTTTCTGAAGACAATACACTGGCTGATTTATTTTTACTGACTCTCCCTTGTCTGCTTATTTTCATCAGAAAATCACGCAGGTTATCAACTGCAACATGATGTCTGTCACCCAGGTAAGATATGTCAGTATTAACTGTATGACTGCATGTTTATACATGTTCTTAACATAGTCCATTCACCCTTTTCTTTTTAAATGCATCTGGTTTTGTTTTTTGCTGACCACTGTTGCTGTTTAAACAAAAAGATGATGGTGGTTTATATTTTCCCTCAGATGACCAGGCTCATTCTTCCAGGAATGGTTGAAAGGTACTGTCCCACACAGTCAGAGGTTCACAGTGGATATGAGATCATGAGAGAATAAGATGAATTTATAGATGTTTGATTTGAATCTTGTTTGCAGAGGGATGGGACTGATCATCAATATCTCCTCTGAAGTGGGCGTTCGTCCACAGCCTTTGTTGAGCCTTTATTCTGCCACTAAGGTCTTTTCCCATCCAGTTATTCTGTAATTTGTATGCAATCTTTAAGGATACCAGATTAATGAGATCACACTCACATATTTATGTGTAACACTAGCTGCCTGTTCTGTTTGTTTTGTGACTTTAACTTTCTTCTGTATTTCAGATTTTTATAATCTATCTCTCTCAGTGTCTGCATGCTGAGTACAAGTCAAAGGGAATTACAGTTCAGGTAAAGTACACAACACTCACTCAAACTGGAGTTCGTTATTTAAGTAATTGACTGAAAATACTGTTCCTAATGAGCAAAATCTATTTCTTTTTGTACATATATGTTTGGTTTGGGACAGCGCAGTGGAACAGTGATTAGCTCTGTCAACCTCATAGCAAGAAGGTTCTGGGTTTGAGCCCAGGATGACCCAGGGCCTTTCTTTGTGAAGTTTGCATGTTCTCCTTGTGTCTGTGTGGGTTCTCTCCGGGTACTCTGGCTTCTTCACACAGTCCAAACACATGTAGCTTAGGTTGATTGGAGACTCTAAATTGCCCATAGCAGTGTGTGTAGTTGTTTGTCTCTTTGTCGGCCTTGTGGTGACTTGTCCAGGGTGGACCCTGCCTCTTGACCAGTGCCAGCTGGGATTGGCTGCCACTGTAAATCTCATTGATTAAACAAACGTGTAGCACATAAAATAAACCTTTGATCTCTGCTGTTCTCGCTGACTAAGGATATCTTCTGCTTTTGTCATTTGTGGCATATGCAGGTATATCAGCCACAATGTGCTTTGGATATTTCTACACCAGGCTAAATAATTTTCATTCTCTTTGAGGTTTTTTCCTTAAATTGAAAATCATTTTTTTGAAAAGTAATGTGTATTTTTGTCAGAATGTAAAGGGAAGTAAATAACACCTAATCACAGTTAATGTTTCCACAGTGTGTGGCACCTGCCTTGGTGTCTACCAACATGACAAGGAGTATGAACGTCAAATGTTTAATGAAGAGTGCTTCAGGGTTTGCACGTGAGGCTTTGAACACTGTGGGGCACTCCAACTACACTAGTGGCTGCCTGTCACTGCAGGTCAGACATGGGAGACACTGGTCACATACAAACATTCAGCTGCTGCAGTACTTTAAGCAGCGGTGGAGCATAACTGAGTACATTTACTCAAATACTGCACTTAAGTACAATTTTAGGCTACATGTGCTTTACTTATTTTCATTTTCTGCACCTTCATAGTGTGACTTCACTACATTTCAGAGGCAAATATTGAACTTTTTACTGCACTACATTTATTTAATAACTTGTTACTTTTCAGAATCATGTTAAGAAAAAGAATACAGTATGAGACTTTATTGATACTTGGTGGAGAATTAACAAGCTAACCAGCAGTCATTCAAATTCTAAACATATAAGGTACATTAGCTAAAATAAGCTCCACCTTTACCAGCTGCAACATTAAATGTGATGGTCACAGTTATGTATCAATAATTATAATCCAATAATATGATATAGCCTACATTCATGTAAAATGTGCCATTCTGCATAATGATACTTCATATATATTTTGATGCCAATACTTTTGTGCTTTTACTTGAGTAACATGTGAATGCAGGACATTTGCTTCTACAATAGTATTTCTGTACTGTAGTATTTCTATCCTAACTTAAGTAAAGGATCCTAGTTTTTCTTCGACCACTAATCGTAACATCTCCCCTTCTCTTTGCCATCATCCTACAGAACCTGGCTCTGACAATAATCCTGCCAGACTGGATTCGTATGTCGTCATTCTTCATTAGAAAGCTAAGAAAGTTTCCAGAAAGAGATGAAGACAAAAAGAAAGATGAGTATGTAGGGAAGAGGAGAAACGCAGAGAAAAAGTTTTAAGGCTTTCTCACTGACCATTTACCACAACTCAAATTAGAACATGGCAAAAGGGCAACACAAAGGCATGCAAGACACTTTTTCACCAACTTCCCATGTTTTGTTAAAAATCCACTGTGACAACTTGTTTCGATCCTAACTTGGTCTGAATCATCTTGAATGAGAGTGGACTGGGCAACCGTACAATCCTTTTTTGATGCAAAGGCACAAAAAAAAATCCAATATGCTTTTTAAGTTTGCACATACAACAGCAACAAATGCCATTTATCATTCAGAGGCAATGCAAAAAATGGTTCCAGTTGTAACAACTGGAAATACACATTTAATAGCGAAAGCAAACATGTTTCCATAAGTGAGTAAAAAAAAACAAAAACCAGAACTTAATTTAGCTCAGAAACGTAATCAGTTCATCAACCAGTGGAAATGCAACAAGCAACAAATATTCAGAAGAGTTTTAAAAGAACTGTTAATAATTGACAATACTGAACAGGAATGTTTTTTCCATCGACATTTAACATGAAATCTCATCCCTGAAATGACATATAGACCTTTCTATACTCAGCAGCCACTTTATTAGGTACACCTGTTCATTAACATGTACCTAATCAGCTAATCACATGGCAGCAACCCAGTGCATTAAGGCATGTAGACATGGTCAGGAAGACTTGCTTAAGTTCAAACCGAGCATCAGAATGGGGAAGAATGATGATTTGAGTGACTTCGAACGTGGCATGGTTGTTGATGCCAGACAGGTGGGTCCGAGTATCTCATAAAATTTACTGGGATAGAAAGGCAACAGTAATTCAAATAATGGCATGTTACAACCGAACACACAACATGTCAAACCTTGAAGCAGAAGAGCTACAGCAGCAGAAGACTACACCGAATGCAATTCCTGTCCGCTAAGAAGAGGCAAATGAGGCTACAATTTGCAAGGGCTCACCAAAGTTGGTCAATAAAAAAAAAAAAGGAAATATTTGGTGTAAACAACATGAAAGCATGGATCCATCCTGCCTTGTATCAATGGTTCAGGCTGCTGGTGGTAGCGTGAAGGATATTTTCTTGGCACACTTTGGGCCCCTTGGTACCAACTGAGCATCATTTAAATGCCACAGCCTAACTGAGTATGCTGCTGACCATGTCCATTCTTTTATGACCACAGTGTACCCATAACCTGGTGGCTACTTCCAGCAGGATAATACACTATGTCACAAAGCTAAAATTATCTCAAACTGGTTTCTTGAACATGACAATGAGTTCACTGTACTCAAATGGTATTTCTTGTATAATCATAGACTACAACTTCCACAATCTTGAGCAACTGTTACAAAGCTATTTCTCTGCGGAGATTAATAAAGTTTTTCTGATTCTCACTGGCTCATGCATTTACAGAGCAGTAATCTGAGTATGACTAGGACGGGTGGAAGGATCCTATCAACCAGGTAGACTATCCAGGTAATATCTTCCTACTGTGTCCCCTGGTGATGATAAAATCTACATTTAGGCTACCTCAAGTGACTGAGTTTAGATGTCAATCTTTTAATCTGAGAATCGATCCTAGAACAGGAAACACAGGATCGAGCACATCATGAACAAGAGGTTATACCAACATAAAGTATAACTTAATATTCCTCCACTTCTTGGCTCCATCATCAAGACAATTAAAGCATATGAAAATGGGAAAATAAGTGGCATATTTTAAAAAATGCACTTGACTGTGGTCCTTTTCTAAAGGTTCTGTAAAAGGACAAAAAATGCTGCATTAGGTCAAAGTATTGTAGCTGGTGCTACATACAGCGTTTTAGCATCCAATCTCCATTACAGTTTTGGTTGGTTTTACATGTAACCAGAGTACACTTAAACAAGACTTGCTGCGTTTACAATATTTAATGACAAAACTGACTGCACATGGTCAGAGATCAGTGTATGTTACTGGGGTTACACCATGAATCAGGAGTGTTGGTCCTAAACCACTGGTCACTGCTTCTAGCTGAGCTAAGTACTGCTGTGAGTGGCTGTGGTGAGCAGGAGGTCGAGGTAAATACAGGAAGCGAACAGCAGCTTGTGAGCTATGTTCCATCAACATAGAGTTCACCGCAGACAAAAATTCCTCAGACAGATCTTGCATTGCCTCTGCAGAGGGCGAGGCATCTGACCTAGTGTGGTGCTGTACAACAGAGTCCCATGGCACGATCTTTATCGATGCCCTGATCCTCAGCTTCCTCAGCAATTCTCGAAAAGTCTCTTCGTTGACCACCCAGCTCTGGTCACTGGACTTAGTCTCCACATTAAGGAAGACTCTCATTCTCGCATGGCGCCATTTGTTAGACATGTTGAGCACACAGGCCATCTGCAGCAGAAAGAGGCTGCACACGTCCTCATAATCCCGGCTGCCTGGCTGGAGCAGGTTGAGAGGCCACACATCAATCATCCGCTCTGATCCATTGACCTTACTGTCTTTACCCTCTCCCTCTAACTGGAAGAAATAGCGACCAAGGCACACGTTCTTGGTCATTTTAATGGCATCAGAAATTATCCCAACATATTCCTCTGGCGATTGCACATACAACAGCAACAAATGCCATTTATCATTCAGAGGCAATGCAAAAAATGGTTCCAGTTGTAACAACTGGAAATACACATTTAATAGCGAAAGCAAACATGTTTCCATAAGTGAGTAAAAAAAAACAAAAACCAGAACTTAATTTAGCTCAGAAACGTAATCAGTTCATCAACCAGTGGAAATGCAACAAGCAACAAATATTCAGAAGAGTTTTAAAAGAACTGTTAATAATTGACAATACTGAACAGGAATGTTTTTTCCATCGACATTTAACATGAAATCTCATCCCTGAAATGACATATAGACCTTTCTATACTCAGCAGCCACTTTATTAGGTACACCTGTTCATTAACATGTACCTAATCAGCTAATCACATGGCAGCAACCCAGTGCATTAAGGCATGTAGACATGGTCAGGAAGACTTGCTTAAGTTCAAACCGAGCATCAGAATGGGGAAGAATGATGATTTGAGTGACTTCGAACGTGGCATGGTTGTTGATGCCAGACAGGTGGGTCCGAGTATCTCATAAAATTTACTGGGATAGAAAGGCAACAGTAATTCAAATAATGGCATGTTACAACCGAACACACAACATGTCAAACCTTGAAGCAGAAGAGCTACAGCAGCAGAAGACTACACCGAATGCAATTCCTGTCCGCTAAGAAGAGGCAAATGAGGCTACAATTTGCAAGGGCTCACCAAAGTTGGTCAATAAAAAAAAAAAAGGAAATATTTGGTGTAAACAACATGAAAGCATGGATCCATCCTGCCTTGTATCAATGGTTCAGGCTGCTGGTGGTAGCGTGAAGGATATTTTCTTGGCACACTTTGGGCCCCTTGGTACCAACTGAGCATCATTTAAATGCCACAGCCTAACTGAGTATGCTGCTGACCATGTCCATTCTTTTATGACCACAGTGTACCCATAACCTGGTGGCTACTTCCAGCAGGATAATACACTATGTCACAAAGCTAAAATTATCTCAAACTGGTTTCTTGAACATGACAATGAGTTCACTGTACTCAAATGGTATTTCTTGTATAATCATAGACTACAACTTCCACAATCTTGAGCAACTGTTACAAAGCTATTTCTCTGCGGAGATTAATAAAGTTTTTCTGATTCTCACTGGCTCATGCATTTACAGAGCAGTAATCTGAGTATGACTAGGACGGGTGGAAGGATCCTATCAACCAGGTAGACTATCCAGGTAATATCTTCCTACTGTGTCCCCTGGTGATGATAAAATCTACATTTAGGCTACCTCAAGTGACTGAGTTTAGATGTCAATCTTTTAATCTGAGAATCGATCCTAGAACAGGAAACACAGGATCGAGCACATCATGAACAAGAGGTTATACCAACATAAAGTATAACTTAATATTCCTCCACTTCTTGGCTCCATCATCAAGACAATTAAAGCATATGAAAATGGGAAAATAAGTGGCATATTTTAAAAAATGCACTTGACTGTGGTCCTTTTCTAAAGGTTCTGTAAAAGGACAAAAAATGCTGCATTAGGTCAAAGTATTGTAGCTGGTGCTACATACAGCGTTTTAGCATCCAATCTCCATTACAGTTTTGGTTGGTTTTACATGTAACCAGAGTACACTTAAACAAGACTTGCTGCGTTTACAATATTTAATGACAAAACTGACTGCACATGGTCAGAGATCAGTGTATGTTACTGGGGTTACACCATGAATCAGGAGTGTTGGTCCTAAACCACTGGTCACTGCTTCTAGCTGAGCTAAGTACTGCTGTGAGTGGCTGTGGTGAGCAGGAGGTCGAGGTAAATACAGGAAGCGAACAGCAGCTTGTGAGCTATGTTCCATCAACATAGAGTTCACCGCAGACAAAAATTCCTCAGACAGATCTTGCATTGCCTCTGCAGAGGGCGAGGCATCTGACCTAGTGTGGTGCTGTACAACAGAGTCCCATGGCACGATCTTTATCGATGCCCTGATCCTCAGCTTCCTCAGCAATTCTCGAAAAGTCTCTTCGTTGACCACCCAGCTCTGGTCACTGGACTTAGTCTCCACATTAAGGAAGACTCTCATTCTCGCATGGCGCCATTTGTTAGACATGTTGAGCACACAGGCCATCTGCAGCAGAAAGAGGCTGCACACGTCCTCATAATCCCGGCTGCCTGGCTGGAGCAGGTTGAGAGGCCACACATCAATCATCCGCTCTGATCCATTGACCTTACTGTCTTTACCCTCTCCCTCTAACTGGAAGAAATAGCGACCAAGGCACACGTTCTTGGTCATTTTAATGGCATCAGAAATTATCCCAACATATTCCTCTGGCGATAGCCAGCGTGGGTTCTCAACATGTCGGACAGGGGGGAAATGGGCATGTAGCGAAGGCAAGTCAACTCCAAAATTATATTCATCCTGGCTATTTTGTCCTATTGATGAATCACAGAATGCACTATCTTGTAGAAAGTAGTCATCTGGAGTGCTGCTGTCATAGAAACCCAAAATCAGTGTGTTCGGCTTCATCCCACCTTACAGACAGAAAAGCAGAGTGCACAAAAGTCACCAAGTGCAGAAAAAGAATTAATTTACTCAGTTTAATCTGTAAATGTGGGCACAATGGGAGTAAGAGAAATCAGAGCTTACCTAGGCCTGTGATGCGGAGCAGATGCTGTGTCCCCTGTCTGACTGAGGGAGACAATGTCAGGTCTACAAAGGCCTTCACCCCGAGTTTATCAACTAGGCTCAGCCAGAAGTTATACTGCTGCTGGACCGGGTCTGATGGCAGAGTGTCTAACACACAGGAAAAGCAGAGGTTAATAACTGCATGGATTTGATTACTACAATACAGGGCTTCATGAAAAGAAAAAAAAAGAAGACTACTTTTCATAGTTCAGCAGTACTGCAGAAGAGAAGCAAGTAAATGATCTCACTTTACTCCTCCTAGACACTGTAGTGCACCCTAATGACCACCAGGGGGCAGAGAGGTGAACTGTGAGTTGGTGAAACTGCTAAAGAACACTGACAAGTTACTGTCTGAATTCTTGGGTGCATCACTGCTAAAGACAGAATATATTTCCTTAAAATATCATGCTTTTTGTTTTTTAGTTTTGTCTGTTTCTCTTCCTGTGACGTTTAACTGTAAAACAGGGCATTGCTGTAAATGAGCATACATGCTTGGTGAACCTACCCTGCATAAATAAAATGAACAAGGAAATAGATATTTGGCTGAATTTGAGATGGCCAGTTTAAAATCTTCGGTCTGATGCTTCAGCAATAGAGAGAAAACACACTCTCATATTAATAATGCAAGAGAAGCATCAGAAGGAAGGTGAAAGCGCACAAGGTAGTGGCCCACCACGGTGGCTGAGGACTGCAGGTAGGGAAACAGAGATGATTTATATAAGATGCAAACTACTTCAATATTTCTTGCTCATCCTATGCTGACAGACTTATTGATAAAAATGATCACAATGCCAATTTGAGGGACCAGGTGTCAGTCAACGAACCGATGTCTGCGTGGAGCAGCCTGAAAAGCATCAGTGGCCACAAGAAACCATCCCCCTGTGCTGAGGGCAGCCATCAACTGGTAGATGACCTGAATCTGTTCTACTACAGGTTTGACAATCAGCCGCTCCCCCGACAATTATCACCCTTTCTTCCAGGCCCAACCTCCTAATGATCTGTAAAAAGGATGTGCATGGCCTCTTTCAGAAACAAAAGATCACAAAGGCACCAGGCCCAGATGGCATGACCCCTCCTGCCTAAAAGTGTGCGCCAATCAGCTGGCCCCCATCTACACACTTATCTTCACTGGAGCTGTGTGATGTTCCCTCCTGCTTCAAACACTCCACCATCATCCCAGTCCCCAGAAAAACCTCTATCAGTGTGTTAGGTAATTTCTTAGTTAGATAGATATTGATTAGAGATCTGTTGTATTAGAAGATGTTAGTGTAGCCAGGATGTCTTCCTCAGGCTGTTAAATGCAAGGTTAGTTAAAGCAGAGAAAGGCTGC